TCATTCATTCACATTATTATTGTGCCACGAATGACGTGGTCGACGTGGTCAATGATACCAAACAATAACACTGCGCACATCATCATATCCCAATATTCAATATTATATAGCCCGCAAAACATTGTGATTATAATATAGCGCTCACACAGGCAAAGTAGATTGCACTAGCCAAAGCTGTATTGGGCAACATTTGTTTTGGGAAGACTCGAATGTTCACAAATTACAATGATGACAAGAAGGAAACAAACACAATTTCAACTGGCGCTTATGCTAATCTTGCAGTTTGTATCGCTGCAGACAACAACAGTTGGTGCCTTTCAATCGAGCCCAACGGGGCCAAATAATCCCTCATCTCCTGCACACCAGATGGTTGCTACCACTTCTGGTTTCGACACCACCGAATCATCTTCTGAAGATGCATCCACAATCGACTTTCCGCCGCCTCTGAGCCCAATTCAACGAACTGCTCGAGCATTGAAATTCTACAAACAAGTCCTTCCAGTATTAGGCGCTTATAAAGTCAAAGAATTCGAATTGGAACTCCGACGCAAGCAATTGAAGCAAGAAATTTCGGAAGAGGAAGAAGCGTCAATTTGGAAGGAGATTGACGAATGGGGATCGGCACGAGTTGCTGATACCATTCAGGACATGAAGGGATTCTACGTCAAGACGGGACAAGTGATTAGTACTCGTGTTGATCTTTTCCCTGAGGCCTATACATCCAAATTACAAGATTTGCAAGACGGATTGGATCCCATGCCATTTGCACTCGTCAAGAAAGTGGTCGAACAAGAGTTGCTCGATGGTGCGCCACTTTCGGAGCTCTTTGCAACCTTTGAAGAGGAACCACTCGGTACGGTTGTTAATCTATTGATGTCTCGTCGCATCGATCTTGTCTCTCACATGTTCGGAACTGTTTGTTTTCATTTTCCATTTTCTTCAGGCGCCGCCTCGATTGCCCAAGTCCACAAAGCGACACTGCTGGATGGCCGGGTTGTGGCAGTCAAACTCCAACGGCCCAATGTGGAACCAAAACTTTTAGGGGATGTTGCCAATCTGAAACGCATTAGTAAGGCGCTTGCCGATAATCTGCCGGTTGACTACTACACCGTCTTTTGCGAGTTGGGCGATGCTCTCAACAATGAATTGAACTTTTTGGCAGAGGCTCAGGCCATGCGAAAGATTGATCTGGCCATTTCGCATGATGAACAGGGACAACCGACTCAGCGTGCTGTGTCGATTCCGCTACCAATAGGAGAGCTAGTATCGAAACGCGTCTTGGTCATGGATTTCGTGGAAGGAGTGCCTCTAAACAAATTGAAGCAACGAATGAAGGAGAAGGGAATCGAAGAAGGCACTCCCGAAGCCAAACTTGCTGGTCGACGAATTTTGGATTCCTTGTCACTGGCGTTTGGTAGAATGATATTTGGGGCTGGGTTCCTCCACGGAGATCCCCATCCGTGAGTTTGATGTCTTCATGCTCTATGCTATTGCGTATTGCCGTTCAGCTTGCTAACCGTTGCCTTTTGTGTTTTTCTTTTCATCCTGCATTTGATAGTGGAAACATCTTCATCGGTGAAGGAGGCAAAGTTTCTTTGATTGATTGCGGTCAATTCAAGGCTCTTCCTCGCCCCCAGCGTGTTCGATTGGCCGAAGTTGTTTTGGCAGTGGCTGATTACCAAGATGCTGCTGCTCTAGTGGCAGCTGAACAAAATGCCAGTAGTGACTCCGTTGCGAAGATGACAGCATGCAAAGACCGCTTAGCAACACTTGTCCAAGATTTTGGGGTGACAGTTGCCGAAGAAAACCAATATGATACAGATCTTTGGTGCTCGATTGGGTTATTCTTGTTTGGCAATGCCGACCAAAGGTTGCCTGGGAACGGGAAATACTCCGCCAATGAATTGGACGACAATTCTCCAATCAAATTGGTCACATCCTTTCCACAGGAACTCGTGCTACTGGGAAGAGCTACTGTTCTGCTCAAGGGCATTGCCAAAAAGTTAGAAGTTCCCTTCTCGCTCGCCGATAAGTGGGGCCCTGGATGCGCACTCACCTTGGAGGCTGCTTCGGAGCCAACCTTGCCTTTGTGGGGAAAAGAGACTGCTATTAATGGAGGCGAGGTGTCGGTTTCCTCCCCTACTGAAACTCCAACCGACGCCGAAAAGATCCGATTCCTTCAAGTTATGCGAGTCTTGAAGACGTGGGGTAAGGGCAAGGGTCGTCGGTTTCTGGAACGAGTGGTGAGACGACTTCCACCAAATCTCAAGGCACAAGTCTTGGAAGCAGAATTGCGACGACAAGAACGCAAGGAGCGTGAGATGAAAGAAAATATGAGAGTTAGTAGGCAATAAAGATAATTGAAGATAACATATTCTTAGATTTACAGTTTTTCAAGTTTGTGCATACATGGCTAACAAAAGCTAGCTGTTTGAAAACCGTCGTCCAATGACCGTCGCAAGAACGACTTTGCCAAGCTCCTCGAGTCCTTGATGCATACTACTTGAGGACGATTCTTCAGTATGAAGATAAGATATTAAAACTGGCTGTCGCTTTCTTCGTCCATTTCAAATGCTTTGCCTACCTTCTGGGCTTTAATTTTCATCGTTCTTGGCACGGGATCGCAGTGCGAGTTCGCTGCTACCATTTGAATACATGGTAACGACATTTTAGCAACCGAGTCGCTATTATAAATCTGCCTCCCACCGCTTGCCGGTATGGCTCGAGTATGACGCCATGAATACAAACAACAACGTGTTATCGGAGTTTAAGCATTATTGTTTCGCTTGTGTCATTTCTTGCCAGCCTTGCTTCGTTCTACCATAGTCTTGGATGACCTGCATTTGTTCATTTCAAGAGTCGTACCATGCCGCATCAGACTCAGTTCTTGTTAGTTGGGACCGAGAAAGATAGCGTTTGGACTTGCTTCCGAAGTTGAAAGTGTGCGATGATGTTCAATTTCGGACTCCTTTGACTACATCTGACTCAGAAGAATACATTGAACATGCACAGTTCATAAAATAAAATAAACAGCTGAGGAGAAGTACTGTAGAGTTGGGATCATGTCGTCGACATCCGTAATGAAAGGGCTATTGCTGATCCTTGCGACAGCCCATGCTTTTGTGGGGCACAATCATGCACGAAGAAGTCTCAACCCCGAAAAAGTTCTCACTAGGAATAAGGAGGTCAAGGGTGGAACAACCACAGTCACAATAAAGGAAACGACAGAATTCTACAGTGGGCCAATGATTTCAAGACACACAAAGTTGATGGCAACAGTATCGGAAGATTCCATCACTGAAAAAGATAATCAAGCAAAAGATGAGGCAATAGTGGAGCCGGTGACAGGAAATGTCGTCTTTCTTCTTCCATCGAATGCGGATCAAATTCAATCCAAATTTGGAAGTCGGTCGCCGTATGGTAATCCTACTGTTCTGGAGGCTGCCCAGCATTTACAACGCAAGATTGGATGGTTTTCGGATCAGTTGGTGAATGGACAAATTGTCGTGCTATCATCCTCTTCCGAGCCTACACAGGATGAACAGAAACTGCTTCAAGACGCAAATGCGGTGATTGCACTCCACTTGAGTAGCAGTGCCGAGACTGAATATGCTGAGTCCCTCTTTAAGAAGCGACGGCAGCGACAGCAAGATGAGCCAGACGGTCTGAATTTTTGTCAATTTGCCTTGGAATGTGGCGAATTATCCTCCAACGAACTGTCTTCCATTTGTGGGCCATTTGACACTGCAACGGCATCGCCATCTTCCCTACTGCCATGGACAGATGTCGCCAGTGGCAAGCGATTGGACGAACGAATGAAGGGATTATTCAAACGTTGGACTTCTGACGACTTTACATATGCCCTCACGCTCTTTTTCAATCGATTCTCGGGTACACCCATTGATTGGTGCAAGCATTCCATTGATGCCACCTGGGAAAAGGGACCTGTCCAAAATGCCCAAGAGTTATACAGTATGGTGAACAAGTGTGGTGACTGCGTTGTCAAGTGCGTACAGGATGAACAATGCAAGGAATGTTTGGATGCTCTTACGGCATTGGACACAACCGATCAAGTCGCGAGTTACCGTACCATTGTTTCGTATGAATCAGAATTACTCGAGAACTTTAGTTATTGCATCCTTCAGAAGAACAATATGTAAGTTGTTGGGTTGCTGTGATGAGATATAATACCCTATTGTCGACGGAAGGATTGGTTTTTTCATGATTGTCATACTCATTTTTTCATTTATTCATTCATTCATTCACTCATTCACTCATTTTATTCTCGGCACACGGATCATAGTTTCAATTGCGACGCCAAGATTCCGCAATATCCCAAAGTGAAACCAATGACCCAGTTTCGTGGAACGCCCTTGACTCGGAAGGTGGCACGTCAAATCTTGATTGGACACTTGGATGACGAGGATTCCTTATTTGACGATTCAAATTGTGAGCGAATGCCAACCTCCTGGAAGGTGGCAGCCGGCGCCAATGTAGCCTACGATCAATTTCCGTCGCAGAATCAAATCTTTTACGAGGCGGCAAGCAATCAACCCAAGAACGAGGAAACTGGCAAGCAGTTTCTTTGGTACGATCCCGTCTTTCGAGTGGAAACCATTGATGGTCGGAATGTGTGGTGCAAACGACATTATCGAGTAAGAGAAGGACCAACCATTGGTACCTTTTACTTTTCCGTCTTGGACAATGGTGTCGTTTCCAATGAATATTGGACTTTAGTGGATGCGGCAGATGATTTGTCGTACATTATCTTTCATTATGCTGGAGCAGCAGGAGCCGTGGGACAACGGTATTTAGGAGGACTCTTGTGTACCGCTGACGGATCGCTGGACCCAATCCTCGACGAGAGTCAAAAAGGGTCCACTTCGGCCATACTACCGAAAGGACCGATGGTGGATCATGTGTATTCCAAATTGCGTTCTGTTGGAATCGAACCTTGGGAACTCTTTTGTGTCGACAATAGGGTGGATTCCCCAGCGGCATTGGATGCCGGAGAAGCCCCATTGGACCATTTCCGTAAAGATGTCTTGGCCGAAAAGGAAAAGCGAAAGTCGCAGCAGTAGCTTTAGAGACATGCAGTAATACTAAAACGACTATTGAATCGATTGATGATGATTCTAAAATGTAATGGATAACTCTAGGTGGTATTCATAGTTGTATACTTTAACTTCACTTCGTTTACTTGTCGTATCGTTCAATCAAACAAGCATGTCCCAAACCACCATCCGCACAGGCAGCCAAAAGGGCAAATTGTTCTCCCTCTTGTTGAAGTCGTCTCGAAGCCGTAGTGAGCAAACGTGATCCAGTTGCTCCAAAGGGATGTCCAATCGACAAGGATCCACCCTTGATATTCATCTTGGACATGTCAAGGGCACCGACCTTGTCAGCGCCACCCAATCGATCTTGAGCAAATTTGTCACTGTCCATGGCGACCAAGTTGGACAAAACTTGGCCGGCAAAGGCCTCGTGAATTTCCAGCACACCAATGTCGTTAATCGACAAGCTTGGGTTTCTCTTTAGGATATCGTGGGTGCAATAGGTAGGTCCCAACAAGAGTTCCTCCCATGGGTCGCATGCATGAAAGGACCAATCGCGTAGATACGCCCATGGCTTGAAGCCTAGTTCCAAGGCCTTTTCTTCACTCATGAGCAAGGACATGGCGGCACCATCGGTCAAAAAAGACGAGTTGGCTGCCGTGTGGGTACCGTGAGGCTTGACAAAGGCAGGTTTGAGCTTGCCAACGCTCTCGATAGTAGAATCACCCTTGATTCCATTTTCTTCCCTGGATCCATTGTAGGGAACAATCTCATCCTTGTAAAAGCCATCGAGATGGGCCTTGGCAGCGTTGGTATGAGATCTCACTGTAAATTCATCTTGGTCTTGACGTGAGACCCCAAACTTGGCACTGAGCTTGTCCGACGAGACGCCCATGACTTCACCAGTAGTGTAGTTGGCAATGGCGGGAGTCTCCAATCCAAAAAGATCTTTGGATTTGAGACCTTCCTTGCCTCCAAAGAAATGTTGGAGACTGGCAATGGCAGGGTGAGTTCCCTTCTTCTTTTTGAGTGCCTTGTTCATTCCAATCAACTTTTGTCGGAATGGACGGCTCAAACGAATGGGCAAATCACTAAAGGATTCGACACCACCCGCCAAGACGACATCCGCTTGTCCGGTCATGATTTGTTGGGCACCAGTGGTAATGGCCGCATTGGCCGAAATGCAAGCTTGCGCAATGGTATGAGCCCCAATATTGTAGGGGAGACCAGCATTAATGGCAGCTTCTCTGGCAATGTTGGATGTCTTGACTTCTTGAATGACATTGCCAGCAATCACGTAATCAATGACCGAAGTAGTCTTGTCGCCATTCTTGGTCACCAATTGAGGATATTTGTTGAGCAAACCAGTAATGGCAAGACGTTGCAAATCGACCGTCAATTCATCTTCGTAAATGGTAGAAGATTGGCTAAATGGAAGACGAACTCCGCCGACAATCACCACTTGACGGGCGGCATCTGGTGGAATCAAAAAGGTCGACTTGGCAGCCGCAGAAGTGGTCGAAGAAAACGACGCAGTGATACTAGAGGATGGCAGAATCTTTGTATGATTCAGACGAAGTAGTCTTTGTGCATTGCGAGATAGGATCATCTTGTGTAGAAGTGTTGTGTATATCAGATGGTATGGAGTCTTGTGATTCGATTTTTGTTGGAATTCAGATGATTTCCGTTGGTCGTTGTCGTCTCAGAATTCTTTTTCTTTTAAAAAAAAAAGATGAAGTTGGTGCTGTCGTTGGTGGTCAATTTGATTTAAACTTTCAACAGAGAGTGCTTTTGATTGGTGATGATTTGTGCGTCTTATATGTGCAGGATTGTGTGACAAGGAGACTTTAGTAGCAATTCTAATGAATCTTGATGATATTCAACTGACGAGAAATGAAACTGATGCCACTTTCTTCTCCTGATTTTGCACTTGATGGCTTCGCATATCCATCTACGACATGATGCGCCTGTTTTCAAACACGAATGGTGTCAACCTTTTTCAGTACGTTTGCTACTTACACGCTTCGACTAGGGATAGAAAGTACTACGGTAGATGTTTATATATGGTAATCGAAAGATCTATAGTTTCGAGATGCGAAGGTTGTCGTTATCAATGAGTACTCCATGCTCAATCAAAACTACTTGCAAATGATCAATCAAAACTTATTTGGCGTTGTGTTCTAGTATTGGTTGGCGATATAGCGCAGCTCCCAGCAGTAAAGGGCAAACCATTATGGTATCTCGGTAACGATGGATTTGTTGCTTCCCGCGACCGGGGTAACGATGGATGCGGGGTTTCCAGGGATAACCAAGCCTATCAGCTTTGTCCGATTAGTTTCATTCAGGGATGTTTCACACAGGAATGTAGTCACATTCGGAATAAGGACTGAAGCGCCACATCGGATCCGGTAGGCTTCTCGTTCATCCTTGTCGGATGTAGTTCGTGTTGCATTATCTGTGGATGCACCAGTTGCAGTCTTCATCTCCATCTTCCACAAAGACAACTCTAACAACGATGTAGCTTCCATCCGCTCATATCGTAACAGAGCTAACGGTGCTTCTTCAATTAAGAGTTGCCTTTCTCTCTCATTCACTTTACCCTCAGCAAGAATCGCTGGCCCATTCACCAAACTCCACATGTCCGATTTCCACGCTTCCACATCATACTCAGCAGCAACAATAGCATTCACCCTACTCGACATGTCCGATTTCCACACTTCCAATCCATTCCAACTCGATATCGAACCCACCAACCATCCATCAAGAGCCAGTTGCAATATCCGCCGAGAGTCTTCATTCAGATTCCAGCCTTGTTGACGGTAGTAGTCAATGGCAGTCTTTCCCTTCGCGTCTGTCCATCCAAGCACATGTGGTGGGTACGCATCTACCAGGACTTGTAAGAGATCAAGTCTGCAGTTTGCAGCCGAGAGAAGAATGTGAAAGGGTGTCATTCCAAAAGGATCTACCAAATTCAAATGAGCATGGGTAGGATTCCCTTGCGGCGACGATTGCGCTGACGATTCAATCTCCCTAGCGAGTTCATCGGCTGTTGTAACAGAGGCGTGATAACATTTCTTGTGTACCGGTAGGTTCTCGAATCTATTTCCCAGAGCAAGCGATATGTTTGTCTCGCCATATTGTGCTTCTAGCGCTGTGCAGCCTCGAAAGCTGTTGATGCGCTCACCGTGATCTTCAGGACTTGATGGGCTTGTTCGGGATTCGGAGGATAGGCAAATATTTGTTAACGAGGAGCATTCCTCAAACGCACCGTTCTGTATTGCTGCACCTCTAGAGCCATCCCCCAATTCCAGGGACACCAATTTTGGACACTTTGCAAAAGCATTCAGGCCAATCGATTCTACCGATCCCGGTAGTGCTACTGCCTGCAGATTCTTACACGAGTAGAAGGCTTCGTCTGCCACAGATTTCAGACCATTCTGAAACTTCATTACCCGTAAAGAATCGCAGTTCTTGAATGTTTTTCTTTCAAGACTCTCAACAGTGGAAGGAATGCTAATGGTGTGCAATTTGAAACATCTCTCAAACGCCTTTTGTCCAATCACTCTCAAGTTTCCTTCCTCCATATTTACTTCCTGCAACGAAAAGCATCTATGGAAAGCAAACTGGCCCAATATTTCAAGAGATCTCGGAATGTCCACTTGTTCCAATTTGACACACTCCATAAAAGCAGCCATATCAATTATTTTCAGTCCCTCCCGCAAGGACACTCTTGTCAAGAAGCGACATCGACCAAAGGCCATCTATCCAATCGTCTCCACACTCGAGGGGATGCTGACTTCGGCCAATGACGAACAATCGGCAAAAGCCCAGCTTCCAATGGTAGTCAACAACCCACCATCTTGATGAAAACGAACCGTTGTCAATGACTGGCATGTCATAAAGGCCTCGGTGCCAACAGTTGTCACGGACCGAGGAATTTCGATTTCCAACAAGCACACGCATCCATTAAAAGCAGCTTTTCCGATTGTGGATAGAACGGATCCACTGAAGTTGACGCGTGTCAGCCATTGGAAACATTCACAAGCCCTTTCGGAAATCTGTGGAACAAGAGGATGGACGACTAATTCTTCTACGTCTTCGGGAATACTTTCTCCTTCATTACCAAAGTAATGATACGAACTCATCCTATTCAATGGTGTTTGCTCAATGTAACTCAAGTAATATCACTGCATGTAGATTGACAACAACATCTTGCACAATGTCATCAAGATTTCATGGCTGCGCGACTTGGTTATTTGAAAAGGAGCCTAGAATAGTACCTCGTATCTCACATAATAACTCAAACCACTCTTGCTAGAGCAATCGATCTCGTTCTATTTTACTGTTGCCATACCAGTACCACTTGAAATCGAAAAAAAGATCGGCTGGCTAAACCGGTAGAAGATCCAAATTATTGAGCCACAAAGAGTCTTTTCTAGTTCATCGCCGATGTCAGATTAGCCTCATAATAGAATGGAATCACATTCGGAATGACAACTGAAGAACCACTTCGAATACGGTATGCCTTACGGTTCTCCTGGTTGACTGCCGTTCTCAATAATGCATCATCTACTGATGGATTTCCAGCTTTTTTCTCCATTTTCCACAAAGAAAGCTCTACTAATGTTGTAGCTTCCACCCGCTCGTAACGCAGCAGAGTCGCAATTGCTTCTTGAAGCAAAGTTTGTCATTGTTCCACTTCATCCTCAGCAACAATCGCATTCACCCTGCTCGACATGTCTGATTTCCACGCTTCCAATCCTTTCCAACTCGATATCGAGTCCACCATCCACCTTTCCAGAGCTGCTTGCAAAATAGGCCGAAAGTCTTCGGTCAGATTACAGCTCTGTTGCCAGCAGTACTCAATGGCAGTCTTTCCATTCACGTCTTTCCATCCAAGCACATGCGGTGGATACGCATCTAGCAGGATTTGCAAAAGATCAAGTCTGCAGTTTGCAGCCGAAAGCAGCACGTGAAAGGGTGTCATACCGAAAGGATCTACCACCAAATGATCAAGGGTACTGTCTTGCGAAGACTGCACTGACGACTCAATCTCCCTAGCGAGTTCATCTGCTGTTGTAACAGAGGCGTGATAACATTTCTTGTGTATCGGTAAGTCGTCGAAGCGATGCATCAGGGCAAGCGAAGTGTTTGTATCGCCATATTGATCTTCTAGCGCTGTGCATCCTCGAAAGCTGTTGATGCGCTCACCGTGATCGTCAGGACGACCTGCTGATAGGCGAGATTCGGAGGGTAGACAAATGTTTGTCAACGACACGCATTCTGCAAAGGCATCGTTGTGTATAGTAACAGCTCTAGAGGCATCCCGAAATTCAACAGACACCAATTTGGGACACTTTGCAAAAGCATTCAGGCCAATCAATTCTACCGACTCCGGTAGTGCAACCGATTGCAGATTCTTGCACGAGTAGAAGGTTTCGTCTGCCACATATTTGAGACCATTCTGAAACTTGATTACCCGCAAAGAATGACATAGTTTAAATGTCCCTGATTCAAGGCGCTCAACAGTGGAAGGAAAGCTGATTGTGTGCAATTGGAAGCATTCCATAAAGGCATGTTTGCCAATCACGCTCAAGTTACATTCCTCGAATTTCACTTCCTGCAACAAGCAGCATAGATGGAAGGCAATGCCGCCCAAGACCTCAAGACTTCTTGGAATAGCTACTGTTTCAAAGCCACAATCCAAAAACGCACCCATCTCAATAATTTTCAGACCCTCCTGGAGGGACACTCTTGCCAAGAGTCCACACCACTGGAAGGCCATAGATTTAATGACCTCCACAGTAGACGGAATGCTGGCTTCGGTCAATGACGCGCATTCGCAAAAGGCCTGTCTTCCAATAGTAGTCAACAAACCATCTTCGTGAAAACGAACTTGTCTCAACCCACATCCCATAAAGGCCTGATCTCCAATAGTCGTCACCGACGGAAGAATTTCGATTTCCAACAAGTTTACACAGCCAAGGAAAGCTCCTTCACCGATTGTCTTCAGAGCGGATCCACTGAAATTGACGCGTGTCAGCCGTTTAAAAAGTTGCCATCTAGACAGGCATCATCCGGAAT